CCCCAAAACCCCAAAACCCCAAAACCCCAAAACCCCTTTTGCTTATAAATTATTGAATTTTATGGCAATGAACAGAAGGAAGAAGACAGACCGTCCCAAGAAGGATACTATTAAACTACCCCCTGCTGCTGGTAGCAGCAGGGGGTTTAATATTAAGAGCACTCAGCGGGTAAGTCTTTGCTACATCCTTGTCTATTCTTGAATTTTAAATTTAATTTCTACCTTATAGTTGTACAAAGAAACTTCTTCGATGAATAATAGCGACATGTACATCAGCAACGAATTTAAATAACATACCTTTACTAAGCAGAGCGCCAACATTTTCAGCATCTAAGCCTGGGAGACCGGCTTCTGCGAATCCTCATGGCTTGAACCATCAATTTGCAGAGGTATTGCCTAATTCTCTAACCTGGTTTAGCTAAAACTGAAGGAAATAGAACTTGAGAAGGCCAAAAACCAGTTGGTGAGAGACACGGAGAAACAGAAGTACATCGAGAAGGAAGAAATCGCGAAGCAATCGTACCAAACACAGCTTGATTTCCTGAGTAATATTCTTGCTTTAATTATAGAGCGAAATTATGAAGACCAGATTGCTGTGCTGGAGAAGCAGCATGCAAAGGAGCTTAAGACTTTAATCTCTTCTCATGAGAGAGAAGTCGCTACTCTGAAAGCTCTGATGCAGGACCAGAAGGATGACTTCCAGATGCAAAGACGGCAGTTTGGTATATCCTTTCTTTGATTATTTTCTAGAATCTGATAAAGCAAAGTTTGAGAAGGATAGGCTAGATCAAAATCAGAGAATTTTGAATGAACGGTATAACCAACCTTAAAATTTCTAGTATTGACTACGAAAAAGCAAAGGCATTTGAGGAGGCGACTACCCTCATCCGTGCAGAACGAGAACGTGTTGAAAAAGAGTTCAAAACGAGGCGTCAGAAAGACCTTGAGGAGATAATTGATCGTCTCGAGCAAGAATATGAGCAACGATTACAACAGGTAGAATTTCTTGATCAACTGTTTAGGCCCAAAAACATGACAAGCAAAGGATTCAACAACTCTTGAAAGATAATAAAGCTCTGAGAGAAGAGCTTGCTTCTTCGAAGGGCACAGCTAATCGACCCAAAAGAGTCATTAAGGCTATTCGCTCTTTTGAAGAAATTAAAGAGCTAGGATCCGATAAATCTACGTATGAGCTGTTGAAGGATGAAGTCCAGCGATTAATAAAGGAAGACAACAGCCAAGACCAGGAAAGTTTCATACTGGAATCTTTCAATTATGAGAGTACCTAAGGGGTTTTGGGGTTTTGGGGTTTTGGGGTTTTGGGG